TACAATTGTTTATTTTACTTTAGAGATGTCAGTAGGCTGATTGATTGCACGGTAATATTTGGTTTGGAGGAAGATTTATATAGGACAAGTTAAACTTTAATCCTATACAATAACAGCTATTGCAACTTTTTTTTACAAATATATTTTTTATTTGCCAGTGGGAAAAAAATGTGTTTGGGTGTGTTTTGTAAATTGTGTAGCTATTGGTGGTTCTACTATTCTAGAAATGTAAAAGTTTACTCTGTTCACAAACACACATAGTGCAGCATTACCTTTATGTTATATGCTTGTAAAAAACAGCCTTCACAAGTAAGGCTTGGTTCACACTGGATGCGATTTAAAATCGCACGTTTTGTTTGCACCGCGTTTTCTGAAGATTTGTTTGCAAGTTGAGACGATTTCAAATGATTTCTTGCGTTTTCCATTGCGTTTTGCAGTGCAATTTCTATTGTATCTATTTCTATGTATGTGAAATAGCAACAAACTGGAGAAAAAGTAATACAAGAACTACTTTTGAAATCACGCTGCAGCAAATTGCGTATGTTAAGACACTCACATTCATTCAATCCAATTTCAGGTACGATTTCAATTCCCAAATCGCACCTGAAATCGTGGTGGTGTGAGCCTGGGCTAAGCCCCCAGTTACATCGCTGCGATTTTTGGATGCCAGGCGACTTGCAAATCATATGCCAATTCGCACCCTATTGTCCACAATTACAGCGGTCAAATCGGTGCTGAACCGATTTCTAAAGTAGTACATGTACTGTTTTTCGTGCGATTTGCATAGACATCTGTGTCAGATGTCTTGCAAATTGCACCTGAAATCGGTATGTCCCCCGACTTTGAAATCATGCAACTTCGCTGTAAGTTGTACGATTTCAAAGTTGGGCTTGATGTGACCAGGGTGTTGGGCTTGGTTCACACTGGATGCGATTTAAAATTGCGTGTCTTGTTTGCGATTTCACTGCGTTTTATGAAGATTTGTTTGCAACTTGTGAAGATTTCCCAACGATTTCTTGCGTTTTGCATTGCGTTTTGCAGTGCGATTTCTATTGTAGTCTATGTATGAGAAATTGCAACAAACTGCAGAAAAGTAATACAAGAACTACTTTTGAAATTGCGCTGCAGCAAATCGCAAATGTTAAGACACTCACATTCACATTCATTAGATCCGATTTCAGGTACGATTTCAATTCCCAAATCGCACCTGAAATCATGGCAGCGTGAACCAGGGCTAAGGCTACGTTCACACTAGCCTTGTTAGCAAGCGGCAGAGAGGCGTTTGGGAAGCGTTTTTTACCGTTTCCCAAACACCTGGGAAAATTCTGCACATTGCAGCACATGGTGCTGTTCAAACGGGAGCGTTAGCATTGCATTGCGTCGTATCGCGGCAAAATGGACGCCTCTGGTCGAGTCAGGAGGAGTTGAAGCCTCCTATTTAAGTCTATGGTGCTGCTCCGCAAACGCCCGGATGGAGTTGCGCCTCGGTTGCAGGGTGTTTGCGGAGTGTACCACCATTCAAACTTCATTATAGGCGTTTGTGTGGCGTTTTTAATGCTTGTCAAACGCCTAGCAACTGCCACTAAACTGCGCATGCGGCGTTTGCGGAGCGTTAAAAATGCTCCGCAAACACCGGACCAATGCTTGTCAAATGCTATAGGGGCGCTTGGCAAGAATTGGAAAAACAGTCAAGTGTGAACGAGCCCTAAAGTTACTTTCACACTGAGGAGTTTTGGAAGCATTTCTGCGTTAAAAAAAGCACCTGGAAATCTCAAGAAAAATCTATGTATTCCTTCACACTGAGGCGTTGCGCATTCAGTGCAGTGTAAAAATTCCTGCTTACAGCATCTTTGGGGCATGTTTGGGGAGTTAACAAAAATGCTCCCAAAATGCCTCTTCCCATTGATATCAATGGAAATCGCCTGAAATGCACCTCAACAACGCTTCTGAGAAGCGTTTTTGGTGCAGTTTTTAAATCACGTGTTCTTTAAAAAACCGCTCAGAAAGCGCGGCAAAAAATCTCGATAAAACCACCTATGCATTTTTGCTGTGTTTTCGTGGTGGATCAGTGTGAAAGTAACCTAAGAGTGTAGTGCCTTATAGACAGTGTCTAGTAATATCTATGCCTTTCATCAATCTAATCCCTGCTGGCGGTAAGTAAAGTGCTGTGCTCAGGTGGCACAACTGATGAGAGCTGCTGACTCAGAAATGACAGCGGGTCCACATCCTCTTTTAGCAGTGGCCACCCAGCTGGGATCGATGTGTAATTTCTCAGTGATATGAGGATTTGTAGCTTGAGCCGTCTTGATCTTTTCCCAGAATATGTACTGGCATGCACTATGCTTAGTGCAGAGGGGACTGAATGGATATTTTCTCATAGACTATGCCTGTGATAGACAGCTGGGTTCAAGTTACATATCAGTCTGACTATTTTTATATCTGCGTGTGTGCTTTCCTTTTCTTGTGATGGAAAGTGTGGAAGAAATGTGAACTAGACTCTCCTGTTGAGGCTTGAAGATGCCTACAGAGAACTATACTAGGAATCTGGGATCACATATATATCCGCAAGCTGAATGAATGAACAATGATGATTTCTTTAAGTAATGCAGAAGTGTATTGTTTTATAGGGACATCATCATGCTGTTGTGTTTCATACAATGGCCTTGTGTTGCTGGTGTCTTGTGTGCATAAAATTTACATATTTATCTCCGTGATTTTTTTTTTCTCCTGGGTACTTTCCTTTCACACTCTAAAAGCATACTGGTTATATTCCACCCCAATTAGCTATAGGCTATGTTTAAATGGATATGCTACTGCGGTAGGGAGAGGATAAAATTCTCCACTGGGCGAGGAACTGATGTGAATGATGAAAATGTACTCTCTAAATGCTGTACAAATCTGTACAATGTCTGTACTATGTAAGGTGTACACTACTAGAATTTTCTTTGACATTTTTTGTTGTAAGAACATTGTAAGAATGTTAGCCCATTTTTCTTACTAGTGGGGTCAAATCGACCACAGTGACGACAAAATTTGAAGAAGCAGGATGGAAACTTTTTCTCGAATGTTCACGTTTCTAACAGCGTATGTGGTTTTTGTTCATTCATTCCAAAATGGAACATTAAAAACAAACGAAATATTGAACTACTTTTGAACGACATTTGAATGTACTGAAAATTTTTTGTACAGATTATCTGTAAATTTTTTTACCCGAATTTTCCTTTGAAATTCTACTATTGTATGCCCAGTTTGTGTTACAAAATACACTTCTCACTAGCCAACAGCCACAGTAGCTAAAAGTGCCTACATAGGTTAGATGGTTGTTCACCATGATTAGCAGATCTTTATAAAGCAATTCAACTTTATCCTGGAAGATTATTTGAATACTGATGCTGTTGTTTTTATTAGCTCTTAATAAAACTGGTTTTGTTCTTCCCTCTGTAGGTGAAGCAAAAAATCTCCCTTCGTATCCAGGACCAAATAAAATGCGAGATTGCTATTGTACTGTGAACCTAGACCAAGAAGAAGTGTTCAGGACCAAGATAGTAGAGAAGTCACTCTGGTAAGGTTAAAAAAAAAATTTGAAGGACCCATGTGTAGAAGATTGATTTATAAAGTGATATTATAAATGCACAATGCCATAACGCACAATTGCAAGCATATGCAGAGGAATAACTTTTTTTTTTAGCTGTGGGTGGTATTGGGAATGATTAGAACCTCTATCATGTTATTTGTATCTATGTCCCTACTTAGCAGTAGGCAGTAATGGAATGTAAAAAATCCAAAAAGCTGGTTGTACTCAAGTCGATGGATGGATCAACTTGGGTACAACCAGCCTGCCCATAGATGGATCGACGCTCGGCCAGTCCTTGCTGAACCGGCCGAGATTCGATCCATCTATGGCCGGTTTTAAAATGAAATCCTTCAACTGAGAACCCCTGCTTTGGTGATAACTAACTTTGTAGAGATTTCTTTTCTCTTACTGTTGCATCTCTGGGACAAGACTTGCAGGTATTGCTTTTTAATGGGACATAAATAGAAACAAATAAACTGATAGGGCTTTGAATCCTTCCCTTCTCTATCCAAAATTGGAAAAAAAATTCTAACTATACATACACATAAGGGCCTATTATTAAATTCAAGCTACTGTATCTTTCCCATATATGGTTTCTATCTTTAATACACTATATATACTGTATGTATAAGCTGTCCCAGATGTATAGGAGGTGAGGCCCAAGAGAGAGGTAGATGACTGCAAAGATTTGCTGTACAGAAAAAAAATACATTTTTGCAGGTTCTGCTTGCCAAATCTCACATAATATAATTTTTGCTAGTTTAATAATATCTTTGCTATAAAATTAAAGTGACCTGGTGGTGGCTGCTACAGTGGTTATCTGCTTACACAGGGATTGGCCATGTATGGAATATGGATACTTGAAATGTGGTCCAAGCTGGACCAATGCAACTTTGCAAAAATACATACATTGGGTCCATACATTGAATTAATCTTTACCAGCATCCTGCCCAGCCTATAGTACAATGATGGCAAAGTGGGAGTGCTGTCATCCTGGGTGAATATTATATGACGTCATCCTGGGTGAATATTATATGACATCCTCCCAGGACCACGCCTCAGACATGCCATATGGGCTGCTCTACAGTGTGATCTGCCACACAGGGCCGCTGCTAGCACCAAGTGATCGTTGTACACAATGAATGGCTTACATTCATAATGTACTAATTTGTTTATCTCTTTAATTGGTCACAGTAATCACATGGTACAGACTGGGCCAATCACACTGCATCTGTACCATGTGATAGCTGTGGCAAATCACAGCTTTAGAATAGTACAAACTGAATGAATGGATGTCATTTATAAAATAATGGTTATTATCACTGTTATAAGCAATCAGAGTGTGTCAAAAAAAGACCCAGAAATGTCCATCGGATTGCCAGACAGACAAGCGTGATTCCTCACTCCAGAGAACGTCTCCACTGTTCTAGATTCCAGTGGTGGCGTGCTTTACACCACTGCATCCCGCGCTTTGCATTGCACTTGGTGATCTAAGGCTTGGATGAATCTGCTCGGCCATGGAAACCCTTGCCATGAAGCTCTCTATGCACTGTTGTTGGACTAATCTGAAGGCCACATGAAGTTTGGAGGTCTTTAGCTATTGACTCTGCAGACAGTTGGTGACTTCTGCTCACTGTGCGTTTCAGGATGAGCTGACCCCGCTCTCTCATTTTATGTAGCCTACCACTTTGTGGTTGAGTTGCTGTTGTTCCCAGTTGCTTCCACTTTGTTATAATACCACTAACAGTTGACCGTGGAATATTTAGTAGCCAGGAAATTTCACGGATAGACTTATTGCACAGGTGACAACCTATCACGTACCACATTTGAATTCACTGAGCTCCTGAGAATGACCCATTCTTTCACAAATGTTTGTAGAAGCAGTCTGCATGCCTAGGTGCTTGATTTTATACACCTGGGGCCATGGAGGTGATTGGAACACCTGAATCCAGTGATTTGAAGGGGTGCCCCAATACTTTTGGCAATATAGTGTATATTGTTTTGAGATAACAGTTATGTCCCAGTCTGAAACACCATCCTTTATATTGCAGATTGCAGTGCTGTTCTATGTAATAAGCCTTTTATTCAGATACATACTGTATATAGTCCAAATTTTAGTCATTAGTTGGATTTATGTGCAAAGTAAGCACATGGTGCATAAAACCATGACATGATAATGACTTCTAATAATTGACATGTGCCAGTGTCTGCATTTAGTATGTAGAATAGACACGCAAAGTCTTCTGTGGATGTACCTGGATTCAAGCTTGGCTTTATCACTTTGGGTGAATTCAATGTGTTAACACAGTAAATGGATGTGTAATAGCTCTGGCATATTAATAGCCCTCTCTGCACAGCAGTAGCTTAAAATAAAATCTATTAACAAAGAGGTTTTTTTTTATGGGGTACCTCATTATTATTCTTCATGCGAGTCCCTCTGCAGACAAAGCTCAGTGGTGTCTCCTAAAAAGAATCCTGAATGCTCTGCAGGGTTTCATGTGTTCAGAAAGGGAGAAAGGGTACGGCAGGTTACAGGGTGCACTCACTGAATGTACAAACAGGGTTAATGCATGCACTCTTCGTGGGTTACACAACATGAACCCATGAATTTGCTGACTTGGTGTTTGCTGTATTTGTGAAAGCATGCTACTTCTTAGTAGCGACAGGTTATTTGATTATATTTACAATTGTTTTAAATATTTATCTGTTAAAAGCACACATTAACAGTCATACTCTGCCTTTATTGATAAAAATCAATACCTTCCAGGTCTTTTATGTACATTGAAGGGATTTTAGCAAACTGAACTGTTGATTGCTCCATGCTTCTGTTTCTGGTTTTGGGGGGGGGGGGGGGGGGGGCTAAAGGCAAATAGACTGTGCACTTTACAAGTGCAGTTGCAGTTGTGTCAAGGTTTAGTAAATGAGGCGAAGCTTCACTTTGCACATGATTGGATGATGGAGCTCCCCCTCTTTTACTAAGCTCTGGAGCAACTGCATTTGCAGAGTGCAACTGCACTTCCAAAGTGCACAATCTAGTTGCCTTTGTAACGCGGTCTGTGTGCCTGTGCAATTCAGCGAGGTGCAATTTTCAGTCTATTGATTTGAATGGGCTGAAATCGTATTGAATTGCACCAAAAGTAGTGCATGTACTACTTTTCAAAGACTCACTGCATCGGATCTGTGGTACCATGAGATCTGGTGCTGACAAACACAGTGCTTTTGTGATCTGCATTTGGGTGTGGTTAGCAATTCATTGACACCTGCAGCAGATTGTACACCCAATGCGCATGGACCTTGCGTTTCCCTCACCGTGTTCTGGTGTGAATGATCCCTTAGTGAATCCACCCCACTGGATCCTCGGTGTCCTGTAGATGTTTTCCTAGTGTAGCACTATCCCTCTAGACGATTTGGGTCCCTCTATAGTCCTGCACAGCCAGGCAACACGCATCTTCACACGGGCTTGAATCCAGAGTCAGAAATGAGAATTTGAATTGGGATAGGGTTAGGGGTGCCCAAGGGTACTGATGAACTGAGGACAACTTCCTGGAACTAGTTACAAACCTTCAGCGTCTCCTTAGTGTACCACTCCAGACCCTAGATGAACTTCTCCTCTTCACCCAGCAATCTGGAGGTATCCCTGATTCCTGTTCCTGTCACTTTAAGAGATGAACAGTCATTGCCAGGTGGCTAATCTGGTTTCCCACCAGAGTGCTCTTTCCCCTATCTGCCCAGGGGGTGCAGGTGTACTCACTCAGATCCTCTCCTGTACTGCTGGCAAGTTGGTAGCTGCTACCAGGCCTATCAGCTGGTCTGCTCCTTCCCTGCCATACAGGTGGTCTTCTCTCGGGGCCGGTGAGCTCTGAGCTTCCCTCCGTTCCAGCTCCATGCTTGCAGGTAGGCCCCATCCCACTTGGCCTCCTTGCAACCTCCTTCCTTCAGCCTGATATCTTCCTCTCTACCTTCCACCCGAACTCTCCCAGCCACTGAGCAGGCGCCAACACTTTTAAGGGTGTCTCAGCCTCTTGCCATCCTCCTGTTGTGAATTAGCTAGGACCCCTCAAAAGTGCAAGCCAGATCAACCCATTGCCTCTAGGGCCTTCCTCCAAAGCCCTAGAGCAGGGGGAAATTCTAGAGGGGCCGGCCTGCGGAGCCTCTCAGCTCCGGACCAAGATTTGACCTTCTGGCTATTATACTCAGACTGCTACTCAGACTTCTCACTGACCATTCAAACACTAGCTCACCCTAGCTAAACTAGGAGGGTGCTACACTAGTATATAACTACATATGAAAGGCTCAATGCAGTAAATCTAATCAGAGTGTTGGGGATGCCTGGATATGTATCCATTTCTGTGGGAAATGCAGTTAGTAGATTGCTGGGGTGCTATAAATAGATCTAGTCTTTAAATAGATGGGGCACATAAACTGTGCCATAGTAGAAAAGAAATATACTGTAGTTAGAATGGTTTGGCAGTTTTACAAAACCACAGCTCTCTGCAGACTGAACTGGAAGGCACTGGTATATACAATATATTAAAGTATATAATACATTTTGTAGCTGTTACATTATAATTGTTAAAAGTTTTTTAAAACAAAAGTAGACTGTATTTTGATTCTGTACTATTTTGTGGGTTGCATATAGCCCATCTATTAAAGAGGAATCTGGCTTAACAGAAGTCTGAGGAACAAGGTACATTTGAGACATTGATGGCTGCTTGGTAGTTCACATTTGTTGAAAAGCAGAATAGACACTTTGGGGAGGATTTACTAAAACCAGGAGCACTCAGAATCTGATGCAGCTGTGCATGGTAGCCAATCAGCTTCTTATTTATTTATTTCAGGTACTTGTATAGCGCTGTCAATTTACACAGCACTTTACATATATATTGTACATTCACATCAGTCCCTAACCCTCAAGGGGCGTACAATCTAAGGTCCCTAACTCACATTCATACATACACATACTAGGGCCAATTTAGACAGGAGCCAATTCACCTACCAGCATGTCTTTGAAGTGTGGGAGGAAACCGGAGTACTCAGAGGAAACCCACGCAGGCACAGGGAGAACATGCAAACTCCAGGCAGGTGGTGCCGTGGTTTTTAAACCAACGACTCTAGTACTGCCAGGTGGAAGTGCTAACCATTTAGCCACTGTGCTGCCCATTTCAGCTTGTTCATTTAAGCTTTGGCAATAAAACCTGGAAGATGATTGGTTTCTATGCAGAGCTGCACCAGATTTTGCACTCTTCAGTTTTAGTAAATAACCCCCGTAATGACTAGCCTGTAAGGATAGTCAGATTATTTTTTTTTTTGTACCTCTTTCATTGCACCATATTTAAATCTGCCCAAGGTTTTAAATCTGCAAAATAGCTAATTTGAAAACTTCAGAATCTCAAGGATTGCTAACAAAATAGCAAGGGAAGAGAAGAAAGGGAATTATGTGACCGACATCCCAGACAGATGTCTCTAGTTCATGCTGAAGATCATACACTTGCTATATGCAAAAGACCATCTAGAAAACATTGGTTAGATCTTACTGTTACCTTGGTGTGGCTTGCCAATTAGGTGTAATCAGATTACCAGATTGCTGCTGGTTATCTGTTTAATCAGACTGCTGCTATGTAGCAATGCATGCTTTGCAGAGCAGTGGCAGTTTGGTTTCCAACTGCCTCCAAGTGTCTATGCCTCTCTCCCACCCATTATCAAGTATAATATATGTGTGAGTGGAGAGCAGAGGGCTGGTGTGTTGAGCTGAGAATCAATTTATATGCAATTTCATTGCCACTAATTATATCATTCTGGCCTTCACACTTGCTTTTACTGATAGGGCTGGTAAAATAGATCCTGAGTGGCAGTTCAAGGTTAGCTGCTTAAACATACAAAACAGGAGATTTTTTTAGCGCCCATATATTGGTTCAACAAAATGTGCCAAAAGGAGTTTGTATGGCCCCAGATTGGATCCTTTAGAATATTTCTCTCTTGGTACACCCTCTTCATGATTTTTCAATGAACTGCTAAAGTGAAGAAATGTTCAATTACTGAACTGTAATTGAAACGGCAAACTTCTCCTGTGTGGTGTAATTGAGAACTATAACGGGGAGTCAAATGCCTCATCAGTACAGCAGAGATTACATCTACATCTCATTTCCTTTACTGAATAGTCATTTTCCAGAGGATCCACTCAGAATGGCCAGTCTAAAAATTATTTTTATGACTTTTCTCCTGTGTTTTGCTGATGTGTCTCTACTGATTTCCCAGAGTATCCAATAAACCAGATTACGACATCAATCCCAGCTGGGAGCAAACATTGGGCCTGAAATATATACATATACAAGAGCGACTAAACGATAACTGGAAAGCTAAACGAGGGTTTCACACAGTGTTAGCCCAGGTCTGCTTGAAGCAAATTGTTGTAATGAAATGAAATATATGTGAAGAAAAATTTGCAGTATTACCAATCTGGGCATTTGCTTTTTTTTTTATTCTTTTTTTTAAATTCTTTATTTATACAGTGGATATAGAAAATAATCACCCCCTCCCCTTTAAAATAATCACATTTTGTTGCTTTGGAGCCTGAAATGAAGACAGACACAGTTTTTGCTTTATGCAGCTGTATATACTCATAACATCCAAGTAAAAGATATAGCACCAACATGTCAAAAAATATTTTTTAAAAATTCAAGACATAGGCTTATACATGAGCAGTGTTCTAAAAAAATAGGTTTGGCATTTGCGTTTGTAAAATAATCTGGCCATAGCACTGGCTATACACAGTGCTGCCACTATGCATACACTTAGTTTATTGGATATTGCAGGCCATAGACGGGTCAAAAATCGGCCGATTTTTCTTTTAAAAAAACCAAAAAATCGGTCGTTCAAGTGGCCGACGTTACC